TTTATTTTGAGAAAGGGTCTCGCTACGTTGCAGAGGCTGGCCTGGAACTCGTGACCTCCTGCCTCAGCCTCCTGACTAGCTGGGGTTGCCCTTGTTCCTCTTTCCTCCTGGAATGAAGCACTTCCTCCTCTGCCCAGGGCAGGAGGAGGTTGGCTCTGGGTTCTCTTGGCTCCTGCCCCGAGGCTGATGGAGGAGGAGCAGTTGCCCAGCCTCCCCTCCTTCCGTCCTTCCTACCCACTTCCTCTTCTGCCTTGTAGGCAGGGGAACTGAGGCTGAGAAAGGAAATGTCATGCTGAGCTCTGGAGGATGCTAAGGTTGACCTTGGACCCTTCTCTCCATCAGTCTCCCCAACCATGGCTCCTCTGCCCATCCAGCTGCCTTGACTTTCACGCAGGTAGGGAAGAGAGGGAGACCGAGCCAGCCTCTAACTTGTCCTGCACCCCTGTGTACTTAGCATGGGCTAAGGCCGCTCCAGGTGCTCTATCCTAAGTTTTCCCATGCCTGTTCTGTTTGTGTCTCTGGCAATCGTTCGAGGGATCCTGAGGGATCCTGCTCTATCATCCGGCAGCCCAGGTGGCCCCGCTGGTCCCTCCTGTTAGCCTATGGGGGGAGGTGGAGGCTGTGGATGTGAATGTCCCAGGTCCACCTGCAACGGGCGCAGGTGCACAGACCCCCAGACACCCTTGATGCCGGGTGTTGTGGAATTTACAAAGATAATATAGTGAAAATACCAAGTGCACGCAGTGACCCCAAACAAAACACGAGAGCTTGCAGACTGGGAAAAAGTGTCTCCCACCAGAGGAGCTCAGTGGCACAGTGGGGAGCCTTCAGGTCAGGCCTTGGGGTCAAATGAGTGTCCCTAACTCTTATCGGTGAGTTTGCGGTTTTCGGAGCATTTTGGATTTTGGAATGGAGGCAGGGGGCTGCAGCTTTAGCCAATTCACTACTTCAGTCCAAAAAGCATGAGAAAGTTCCGCAGGGTGGGACGGTTCCTGGGGGCTGGTTCCATGACAGCCTGTAGGGGAAGTAGATTCTTGGGGAGGTCCTGTCTGGAACCCTCAGGGGACCAGGATCACCTTGTCCCAGCCTGTCCTACAGCGGGGGCTGGGGGATTTCCTGGTGGCCATGCCCTCGGGATTCAGTATCATCACCAGGTGCAGTGGTGCACGCCTGTATTCCCAGCTACTTGGGAGGATGAGGCAGGAGGATTTCAAGCTTGAGGCCAGCCTCAGCAATTTAGCAAGGCCTTGTCTCAAAAATAAATAAGTAAATAAATAAAGGCAAGGGATAGCTCAGTGGTGACTCAGGAGCCCCTGGTTTCAATCCCAGTGCCAAAGAGAGAAAGAGAGAAAAAATAACCCTCAGTATCCCTTGTACGGTGAAGAAGGGGCTTGGTAACCCCAAGAAACACAGCAGGAACCATTTACCCCAGGATTCTTAACCCAGGGGGCCCTCAGCTTCTTTTTTTCTTTTTCTTCTTTTTGTCCTGGGGACTGAACCCACAACCACTGAGCCACATCCCCATCCTCTTTTTTTTTGGTACTGAGGATTGAACCCAGGGGCGCTCAACCACTGAGCCACGTCCCCAGCCCTTTTATACATTTTATTTAGAGCCAGGGTCTCACTGAGTTGCTAAGTGCCTCACTAAGTTGGGGAGGCTGGCTTCGAACTCCTGATCCTCCTGCCTCGGCCTCCCAAGCAGCTGGGATCACAGGCGTGGGCTACTGCTCCCAGCAGTCCTCAGCTTCTGACCTCAGCACAGGACGACCAGTCCCTGTAGGGTGGCATGTGACTCTGCAGAGCCAGGGGGACATTGTGCTCCCTTCATGGTTGATTCTTCATCCTGGGAATGCTCTGCCAGGGGACAGTTGTTGTTTAAGCTCCGCCCCCCTCCCACGGCGCCATCTAATGGCCTGGTTTAGGGGAAGCCAAAATTGAAACCCATCAGATGCAGAGGCATAGGCAGTGGCTGGGTCAACTCAACATGGGGACGGTTTCCAGGTCTGCAGTCTCTCCCAGGGGCCTTGCACCTTGAGCTCACTTTGATTTATTTCAACAAACGCTAAATTCAGAATTTTCAAAGGCAATTGCCCTTTCCTATTAGGGTTCTTTTGAAATGGAGAAGTCACAGAAGCAGGTTTGTAGGTATGAGTTGCCACACAGCAGGGGAGTGCACCGGGCGACTTGTTTTCCCTCACTGAGAGGCCAGAATAAAAGCATGAAGAAAGAATCTGCTATAGTAGGAAGGAGTTAGGTCAGATCCCAGGAAGAACTTCCAGGTTATGGAGGTCTGAAGCACAGGCATGGGACTTTGTATTGTTATTTTCTCCAGGACAGGATGACTTGCCTCTTCTTCCCTCAGCTGTCTGTGCTCCAGTGTGGAGATGGTGTCTCTTTTTCCCCGGGTAAGCCTGTGCACGGGAGGCCTGGTGGATTAGAATCTCCCACCCTGCTCACCCACCGATAGCAGGTCATCCTCTTGTAAAGTTTCCGAATAAGACTCACCACTGAATTCTAGAGTCCTTAGAGAAATCTTGGTCCAGTGGATCTCACTGCTGGGGAAACCAATGCTCAGAAGGATTCATGGGTCTTTTGCATGGCTCTTGACCCAGGGGACAGGCTTCAGTCCTGTGACCTTCTTTCTGTGTGCCCTTGGGCTTGCTGAGGAGGACAGTTTGGGATTCAGGCCTTGGGGAAGCTGGTCCAGGCTGGGAGCCCTGGCTGTGTGACTACTTGAAGTCACTTCCAGTCACTCTCTTCCACAGTGGGTGGCTACCTGGTCCCCCAGGGTAGGGGATGCCCATGGAAGTTCCATGAGGGGTGTGTGTGTGTGTGTGTGTATGTGTGTGTGTATGTGCGTGCACACCCGTGTCTGTCTGTCTCCACGGTAAGTCAATCAGTCATGACCTGAGAGAGACTGCCCGGGGGCAGAAGAGGGTGTCTCAGCTGGACAAGTCGGGGCTGTTGCTCAGAGTCTTGGCTGAGCACTGTGGGTCTGTGGAGGCCTGGGGTGGCCCAGGACAGCGGCCCAGAAGAGCCAGGCCTCCGGCTGGGAACCTGCACGCTGGACGCATCCACAAACTCAGCCATCTGCCAGCCGACAGCATTTCTTTTTTTAACCCCTGAAAAATATAGCCTGCCCAGCCTTCTGTGACACAGCTGGTGGCGGGTGGGGGCAGGATAATTATGGCCAGAGTGAAGGCAATACCGCGGCCAGGGGTGGGAGCGTGGCGGTGTTCGTTTGGACTCTCAGTAAACCGTGGCCTGTGTTATTTTCAGTTTAACTAATCCATTCATCCGGCCATCCATTCATTTATTCAACAAAAGGATATTGAGGATTATGTTGTGTTAAAAATCGCCGTGGCTCCCGCTCACAGGGACCCAGACGGTGCCCACTTCAGCTCATTCCCTCTCTTGGCCACCCTGTGAGGAGGGCCCAGGCCCTAGCTGCCTATGTGGCACTAACCCTGGAGAAGCCGAGAAGGAACCCCCTCTTTTTAGCAGACACAGCCTCAAGAGAGGACTGATCCTTTGTCAAAACCAAGTCAGGCTGAATCTGAGCATCCCCTGTCCCTCAACTGGGTGGCCCCTTGCAGTGAACAAGCCCTGCTACTTAACAGTCCTGCTTTGAGGTGAGCACCATCATCCTTGGATTACAGGAAACGGGTCTGAGCCCACGAAGATGGTTCCCAAGGACATGGCCTCTCCAGGGATGAGAGTCTCCTGCAGGTCCAGAGCAGCACACGCTTGGCTGGGCAGAGCTGCTGGGCAGCAGGAGTCCTCATGGCCTTCGCTTATATTGCCATAAAGAGCTTCGTGCTGAGGTCCAAATGGCCATGGTGCACGCTCCTCAGGGCAGACTCAGTCCTGTGTGTTTTCTCAGTCTGCGAGTGGAGTCGGGCAGGATCTCTGTCAGCGTTGGTTACATGAAGACCAAAGGTGCCAATGAGTGGAGAAACAATCTGGGCCCTTCCATGAGAGACCTCAGACACTGATTTGGGAAATGAGACATATATTTGGGTCATCACATGTGACAGCAAAGACAGGGCATGCTCTGCGAGCAGTTCTTCATCCACTAGGCATTCCTGGAGCTCACTGTGGACAGGTGTGGTACCAGGCCCTGGATGAAGGCTGGTGAACAAGCAGGTCCTGGCCTGCTCAGTATGGGGCTGGAGGAGGAGCAGCCTTGTGGGAAGGCGTGGGCCATTGGTTAAGGGGCATAGAGGGGCTGGCTGTTATTCTCAGACTCTCCAGACATTCCTCTGACCTATAAATGGGGTATCTTTAGGGGTTGGGTTGGGAGGATGGCTGAGCACTCCCAGGGCTGGGCATAGTCAAGCACAAGGTGGCCCTCTGCAGGTCAGCTGGGAGGATGGAGGTACTGATCGGAAGGGAAGCCACCAGCTCTATGTTGTGCCCCCTCTCTGGGACAAGGACAGTCACACGTCACATCATGACTAACTGGAGCCACTTCTGCAGTCTGGGGTGAGATGCTCTTGCAATCCTAAAAGGACTGCGAGGCTGCCTCCCTTGCTTCCTCCCCTGCCTGCCTCCAAGGCCAACCCTCTCCTGGGCTATTCCAAAGGCCCCTTGGGAAGGAGGGAACTGAGTTCCAGCTCTGCAGGCTGATGGAATCTTCTCTGGGTCACCGTAGCCTGTGACCAGCCACCTGTTACTCTTTGCAAACCGTTGCTGGAAGGAGACCTTCCTGCTGTGAACCAGCTGGCGCATGTTCCCTTAGCCTGGTAGGGTTCTGAGGTGGTGGAGGGCTCCGTAGAAGGGGTCCACTCCCCCACAGGCTTGGAGACCTGGGACACGTGGAATTGCTTAACTGGGCCTCAGTTTCTCCCCTCCTCATATGCCTGAACCGGGGTGTGAAGATGAACGTGCCACATGGGGGCACACACCACGTGTGCGGATGTGTGAGAAGCAGCCCTGCAGATGGGGGTTCTCGTGACGCAAGGGGTCGTGGTAGCGCCCCCTGTGCTTCCCCATGCTCTGCTGTACTTTTCAGGGTGTCAAGAGGGTCTGTTCCTTGACCCTCCACCTCTGGGGTGAGGAGGGGTCTCTGCCATATCTTTGGGGCTGGTGGCCAGGCACGTGCACCGGGAGGTGTGGGGAAAGGGGGCTTCCGGGAGGGGGCGACAGTGGGATGTGGTGCAGGGGAGTCTTTGGCGGGGCAGGCGTGGCGGGGCGGCGGGGCGCGGCGAGCGTCCCAGCCTTCCGGAGGTGGAGGTGCGGGGTAGGGGGTGGGCTCCCAGGTGCTCTCTCTTTAAAAGGCCGGCGGAAGCGCCGCGCGCTCGACCCGCACTTGCAGCGCAAACTTGCCGGGCTGGGCTCGCGCCTCCCGGGTGCGGCAGCGGCCGTGGGCGCCGGGGCGAGCGGCTGCGGCCCCCTCGCCGGTTCGCGCTCCCGCCCCGCCCGCAGCCTCCCCTCCGCGTCTTCCTCGCTCTTCCCGTCTCTCGCTCCCTCGCTCGCTCGCTCGCTCGCTCGCTCTCCAGCGCGCTCTCTGGCTTGCTCTCATTTTTTTCCTGCTGCTGTTGCTGCTGCCGCCGCCGCCGCCGCCGCCGCGGCGCCGCTCGGCGCCCGCACCTCGGCCGGCTGCGCTGGCTGTTCTGCTCCCGCTCCGCTCCCTTCCTAGCCCGGAGCCCTTGGCAGGATCCAGCTCCCTGGACCGTCTCGCCCGCGCTCTCGGGCTCGGACGCTGGGCTTCGCGGCCGCGGGAGTCGGGCTCGCCGCCGCTCCCAGCTCGCTCTCTCTCCCCGGAGCAGCCGCCGAACGCCGCGCGCTTGGCGGCGGCTCCAGCCGATCGGCTGCAGGCTCATCCCCGCTGCGTCCGGGACTCCGGGCGGCTCCGTGCCGGGCTCGGTCCTCAGCGTCAGCGCCGCCCGCCGCGACCGGGCTCCGGGCACCGCAAGAACCGAACGTCCGGCCGCCGCCTCCCTGCGCCCCCAGGGCGGGCGGGCGCTACCGGACCCCTCGGCACGGCTTAAACCTCGCCGGCTCGGGGTGAGTTGTGGCCCGAGGGGAACGAGCAGAGGGGACTGTGCCCTCCGGCCTCCTGGGGCGCGGGCTGCGGTGGAGACACCGAGGCTCGGGGAGGTGGCCTCCCGCGAGGTCCCGCGCTCGGGGTACCCCGAGGAGAGCCGGCGAACCGAAGCCCTCGAGGCCTGAGGGTGCGGGACCCGGGCTAGAGGGTCTCCCCTCGGGGCAGAGACCCCCCTCTCCGGATGCCTCCGAGGGAAGGAGTGGGGCAGCGGCTGTTTTGAGGGTCTGGGGGAAAGTAGTGTCGCTGTGGTCAGCGGCTATGTCAGGTTCCATCGGATGGAGGGTCGTGCCAGCTCCCAGGTGGGGGCGGCGGCATTAGCGCGCGGCTCTGCGGAGAGCAGGGCAGGCGGGGGCGCGGGGCATTATTTGCACCTCTCCTCCGCGGTCTCCCGGAGGGAGGGCAGAGCCAGCCTCGCGCGCCTTGGCTCCCATGCCAGGCACCGCGTCCGGCTCTGGTGCCCGCCCCAGCGCCGCCTTCGCCACCGGCCAGAGCCTGATAACCGCTGACCCGCAGCGGCTTAGGGCATCCCCGTAGGTCTGGGGTCTCCCCGATGTCCCGGGATTTCAGGGTCAGGCTCTCTCCGGACACTCAGGACCATCCCTCCCTGAGACCCTGAAGAACCTGAGTCTCTACGCTGCAACCTGGAGAGGGGAGCGCCCGTGTGGATCTGTGTGTGCATGTGTGTGCGCGCGTGTGCTGGGGGGAGGCCCCTGCTCAGGGGTCGGTCTTCCCCGGCGCCCGCAGGCTGGAGGCGTCCCCTTCCCGTGCGGGGGCGGGGCCGGGAGGTGGAGGACCCGACTGCGAGGGGCGCCCCCGCACCCCGGAGGTCTGAATCTGTTTGTGCTGAGATGGGGCAGCGGTGGCGGTGGCAGGGAGTCCTGAGCCCGAACGTACGAGCGCCCCCTGCCCCTAGGCTCTGATTGACACCCTCACCCCCTCCCCGCGACTGTCAGTCCTTTTTGGAGGGGCGCCTCGGTTCTTTACCTTCTCTCCTCACCATGCCTGCTCCTGGCGAAGGGAGAAAACTGGCATTTCGGAACACAGACTGAGCTGGGTTTACCGAACTGGAAGACACAAGATTGTCAGAGTGGTGGCTGCTCCTCTGTCAGTCTGGAAGGAAGCTGGAGGTGATGGGGGAGGGCATGTTGTGTGTGTGTGTGTCCCCATACTAGATTCACCCCGTCTATTCTGGGGTGAGAGTGGAGGTTTATGCAGGCCGGGAGGCCAGCTGGAAGGGCGTGGGTACCGAGCACTCTGGTCCCATAGAGCACTATCTGCAGTGCTCCACCTCACATCCCCAGGCCAGCCCATGTGGAGGCAAGGAACCTTTGCATGCCATCTCTCCACTGCTCAGGATGTGGCCCAGGCCTGCCCCACTTTCTCCCTGGGCTCAGGCTCTGCGTGTGCCTGGAGGAAGAGCTTCCACCAAGAGCGGAGAACTCTAGGACCTTCCTGAGGTTCGGGAAGTGCCCCTTCGGAGGAGCCTAGAGACTCCTGGGTGGGGCACCCGGGGCAGAGGTACCCTGTCTGTCCTGGGCAGGCCACGGGGCCTGCAAAGAGGGTCTGGCTGCAGTGGGGAGGGGGTTGGAGCCTTTGTCCCCTCTCCCTGTCTTCCTCCCCTCACTTAGCCCTGGGATAGACGCGCCTGCTCACTTGTGAATGAGGGGACCACTGTCTTCACCTCCTCTGGCTTTCATCCTTTTAGACATAAGCTTTCCCCACCTGCCAACACCTTCGCATCTTTTAGGAACAAAACACCCCCAAAAGTTATCCCATCCCTGGAAGGAAGCCAGCAATGTTTAACTTAAAGGATGTCCTATGAATGGTGCGTTTCAGGAGAGACATATGAGCAGGGAGATGCAGCTTGTTACAGAGCTGGTCCTGAGCAGGCAGTGGGGAGGCAGGGGCCTGTCAGGAGTTGATCTGCTTCTTGGCCTTAGTGGTCTGGCTGGGGCCGCTCCTCCATCCCCCTCCCTCCTCATCCCAGAGACCTGTGTCTGGCGGTTTAGCTCTACTCTGTTGGAGGTGGGACATCTCTGGGAGAAGAGGTGGTGAGCCAGCCTGTGAGTATGCTATCTAGAAGGGTCAGGGGGCCAGGCCCACCCCTTCCTGAGCGGTCCACGACCCAGCCCCCAGGCTGTTTGACCACATGGTGCTAGCCCTGCTGCAGGGGACAGCTGGTAGGAAGAGATGGGAGCAGGACCCATGGGCTCCTGAGCTTTTAATTATAGCTAGTAGACACGTCCTCTCCCTAGACAAGCGTGGAGCAGGCAGCCCCTAATTACCACCCACCCCAAGACATCTACCCACCCTGCTGTCCTCCTCTGCTCAGCCTAGAACCCAACTTTCCAGTGGGCAGGCCCCGCTGGCAGCCTGGGCAGCTGGGCCTGCCGGCTGCCGGCTGGAAGGTTATCTCACTTCTGCAGAGTGGCCGCCGCCGTGGCCGCTTGGAGAAGGCTGTGGGGGAGCTGGCATCTGGGCTGGGGCCCTGCTCGCTGGGGCTGGCGGAAGAGATGCTGGCTGGGTGGGCCCACCTGAGGCAGGAGGCTGAGAGGCAGTGGGGACTTGTCTGCTGGGCAGCGGGCCTGGGGCAGGGGAACCCCAGCTTCCTGTCACTGCCACTCAACCCTGATTTCCATGAGTGCCAACTCTGCCCTTGTTGCCTGGGACCCTCCAAAATCCCAGGGGTTTCACTCCTTTGGCGTGGGAGGGCTTGGTCACACTCTGTGGGGCTCCTCTGTCTCCCTTTGGCCTCCATCTCTGCTGCTCTCCCTCCCTGGGCTGGTGAGTCCTCATTCCCAACCAGCTTCCTTTGTCCCTGCCAGTGCAGGAGTTACAGGCTCTGGTGACTTCTGTCCCCTACTTCCCTGCCTCTCTCTCCTGGCCTGGGCCTGCAGGGAGTGGAACTTGCTTAGAGAAGTGGCCAGCTCAGCCCGCTGGCTGCCTCCTGGCCTTGCCTCCTAGCCTGTGGGCCAAGAGATGCTGTTCCAGCCTGTTCCTGTGTCTTTTGGCTCCTTGGAAAAATGAATACCACAAGGATAGTAAAAACCACCCCTTAAATTAGAGCTGATGCCTCCTGTCGAAATGTTTTATTATTAACCTCCCCATTGAGCAATCTCAAGGCTGCAGTGAGGCATAAATATATGTGTACACATGTACGTTAAATAAATTGAGGAACGCAGTGCAAAATGACATTATGGGGACCCCATTCAATGAAGGTAGAGATTATCAGCAGTAATTGGGAAACGACAGCCCTAATGACAGCCTATGCCATTTGGGGCCAAGCAACATGGGTCAGGTTAAGCCACCCAGCTCCCTTGGAGAAGGCTCTGGCCACCCTGGTTGTGAGGGGGCCCTTTGATGGCAGAGTCCAGGAGCTCTCCTGGTTTGGGCCGCCACCTGCATTGAGACCAGCAGCTCTGGGTTCCACCTGGTCCCCCATACCTGGCCTCCCATAGCACCCCTCCACTCCCTGGGCTGGACCTGCTTTCTGTTTGGGGCAGGACTTCTAGTAAAAACACTGTTCTCACTACAGGGTTATTTGAAGTTTAAATATAGAAATGGAGATTGGGACTTGACCTGGATTCTGAAGCTCTGGTGGGTGATTGATCCTCAGATGTCACTCACTGCCCCGTCTTGGTGCCTGGCTGTGGTGTGGCCCCTGGGCACTGCATTACATCCATGGCTGTGCAGGACAGTAGGGTCTGGTTGTGGGCGGGGCCAAGGCAGCGGCGCCAGGTGTCCCGGGCAGTGCTGGGCTTGGGGAGCTGCAGTTTAAGGAGGGGGACAGGGAGGGGAGGAGAGGAGGAGGCCGTGGGGTGGGAAGCTCACAATAGCACCAGCTGCAGACAAAGACACTTGCCCACTTGGGCTCTGTGTTGGAAAGTGAGGGACACTGGTGTCACCGAGGGCTGGGGGAGTTGGGGTGGGAAGGAAGGCTGGGGGTCGACGTGGACAAGGAGGTCTGCTAGATGGTGGAGACCTGGGCAGTATGAACGTGGGGGCCGGCCCCTGGCTCTGGGAGCAGAGGAAGGTCAGT